GTGTTTATCGCTTGTGTGATGTCCTGGTGGGGTAGAAAGTCAGTCAGTCAGTCAGTCTCGAGTTATCGTGTTCGCCTTGAGTGCTGGAGGTCCCGGGTTCACGCAAATAATCAGATGGTAGTTGGAAATCGAAAAAAAAAGTAGTCTACCGGCACTGCCTAAGTAAAATTTTGAGGTGAAAATCTGCCCAAAGTATTTCAGGACCCTCACCGGTGCAACGGAGTTCGTGCCCTGCACTGAGATTCTTCAAACTCAGGCTTGAGTCAGAGGTAGAACAGAGCACTTATGGGTTAAACACGTGTGCCATGATGTTGATTCGTTGAATAAACATAAAGGACCCGTGAACTGTCAGTGAATTTGTGAGAAATTATCTGGAAGTTATCAATGGAGGGTTTTTAAATTATGTTATTTATTATAATCGACGTCTTTGCACACTGGGCACCCCCGTGCTTGCTCAGTCCACCGATGCAGCAGCTACTCTAAGATATATGTACTGATTGCTCCCATGAGGGGTTGGCTATAGTCACTGCCTTCTTATGCATATTTTCAGTTGTACGGTATGTGTTAATTTTTGTAAACTGGCGTTTGCTTTGCTTCGCGAACACTGGCTGTAAACTATTGCGGAAACTTCTGGTTGTTCATCCACTTCTTATGCATATTTGCAGTTGTACGGTCTGTGTTAATTTTTGAAAATTTCCTTTTGCTTCGCAAACACTGGCTGTAAACTCTGGCAGAAACTTCTGGCTGTTCATCTTATTCTGGGCTTTAGTCTTGTTCCAGACAGTTTTGAACAACGAGATCCGGTATCTATATGTGGATTTTTGTGTTTGATATGTGCATGTTGCTCAGCAATTTGCAGTTATATGGTCTTTTTTAATTTACTTTAATTACTTTTAAAATAATATAAAATTCATGATACTTATACGCGTTGTTGCATGCAGTAATTAGAAATATGTGTGATGTATTTTTAAACAGTTACCAAAAAACTCGCAATGATGAGGAATTGATTTCATCCAGCAATATGAAACTGGACAAATCTGTTTGTGCTGTTTGTACCTTGAGGATACATATTTAGTAGTGCTATAAGTACTGTTAAGAAAACTATTCTGGGTGAAAAAAGTATTGCACATATAAATTTCATACTGATTGTGCTTGTTTACTAATTATTAAATAACAGTATAATTATATGTTGTAGTAGTCTACTAATAATAATAATAACCATCAATTATTTATATTTATGTTATGTATGATGTGTGTATGTTTCATAGCAGTATTTTTATGCGCTAAATTTGATAAAGTACAAATGTCACCCCCCCCCCCTTCCCCCCCCCCTCCCCCCGCTCCTCCGATGCAACAATACCCTCTCAGAATCAAAGCGTTAGCACTGATATTTCTTTACTTTTGCTGGAACAACTTTTAGTTTATATCTAAACGTTATTGATGTTTATGTTCATGTTGACTGTAGCAAAAGCATTTTTGTTTGTCTGTAAGAGCCTTTATTGTTATATTTAATTGGCACACTTATTTACCTTAAACATAACGTATAGTTCTATAAAATATGTCGAAAATTAATGAAACTGTAGTTTAATTTGTGTATACATCTCCTCGATAAAAACTGGGGACGCAGAGGGACTCAATTCTTGCACAAGAACGGTAATCCCCATTGACCTGTTAGGCCTATAAATAGAGAAGGCCGTGGCTATAGTATCTCTTGTCTTTACCTCGAAGACGACATAGACGTGCTCCACCAAGCTGCTGGGTCACGCAGTCGTGTTAGCGTCAGAGACTCGTCATTATCCCCCAACCTAGTCCGTACAGCGTTGATGATATAAGCTCTGCCCATGATTCTTCTCATTCACATTGGTACATTGCGAAAGTGAGTCTTTTTCAGACTTCTTTAGTGCCGACTGACATTTTACACCACTAGGACATCACACTGAGTGATAAACACTCGATGACACAAAGTGTCTCCATTCGGATGAGGATCACCCGTGGAGAGGTCCCAAAAAACCCTGTTTAACCGTTTGATTATATTAGAACGGCAAATAAAGAAAAATGTGTCCCACATGGGGACAGGGATTAACTTTGTAGGGTTGTCTTGCAGTTCACTTCCGAGCCTGAATATTCCAAATCTGTGACATTTTCAGTCTTTTCCTGATCAATTTTAATACACTGTTTGTCAGTTTTAATGCACTGTTTGTCAGTTTTAATGCATTGCTAGTCAGTTTTAATACACTGCTGCCCGGCTCTCTAGCGAAGTTGGTTAAACCTGATTTTCGCTGCGGCCGGGTGACGAACTCCTTGTGGTCCGGGTTCATTCCCGGGGGTAGGCAGAAAAGCCACATTTCTCCCAGATTAATGGTACCTATAATGGAATCAAGGCCGAAGGGTTGCGATATCCATAGTACCGAGCCAAAGGGTTTACAACTCATGGTTTCTGGATACGTAAAAAAAAAATAATAATAATAATACACTGCTAGTCAGTTTTAATACACTGTTAGTCAGTTTGAATACACTATTTTTCAGTTTTAATACACTGCTAGTCAGTTTTAATACACTGTTAGTCAGTTTTAATGCATTGCTATTCAATTTTAATACACTGTTAGTCAGTTTTAATGCATTGCTAGTCAGTTTTAATACATTGTTAGTCAGTTTTAATGCATTGCTATTCAATTTTAATACACTGTTAGTCAGTTTTAATGCATTGCTAGTCAGTTTTAATACATTGTTAGTCAGTTTTAATACACTGTTAGTCAGTTTTAATGCATTGCTATTCAATTTTAATACACTGTTAGTCAGTTTTAATGCATTGCTATTCAATTTTAATACACTGTTAGTCAGTTTTAATGCATTGCTAGTCAGTTTTAATACATTGTTAGTCAGTTTTAATACACTGTTAGTCAGTTTTAATGCATTGCTATTCAATTTTAATACACTGTTAGTCAGTTTTAATGCATTGCTATTCAATTTTAATACACTGTTAGTCAGTTTTAATGCATTGCTAGTCAGTTTTAATACACTGTTAGTCAGTTTTAATGCATTGCTATTCAATTTTAATACACTGTTAGTCAGTTTTAATGCATTGCTATTCAATTTTAATACACTGTTAGTCAGTTTTAATGCATTGCTAGTCAGTTTTAATACATTGTTAGTCAGTTTTAATGCATTGCTAGTCAGTTTTAATACACTGTTAGTCAGTTTTAATACACTGTTAGTCAGTTTTAATGCATTGCTAGTCAATTTTAATACACTGTTAGTCAGTTTTAATGCATTGCTAGTCAGTTTTAATACATTGTTAGTCAGTTTTAATGCATTGCTAGTCAGTTTTAATACACTGTTAGTCAGTTTTAATACACTATTAGTCAGTTTTAATACATTGCTAGTCATTTTTAATACACTGTTAGTATGCTGAACTCATTGTAGACACACACACATTCACATTAAGAAACATATTTTCTTCTACACTTCTTTCGTTCTCCCTCATAGTTTCTAGGGATATAATTTGACACAAGACTCACACGGAGAAAACAGACACATAGTTTGAAGACTTGACGCAATATTTGATTCACTTTGGCTCTTCATTAAAATAATCTGTACAGCAGTGAATGCCAGGTCACTGTCGCCTAGAAGGACAGACTGACCAGAAGCGGTAGTAACCTGGTATAATCCAAAGCCGTCTCTAATAAATAGAGTAGGCCGTGGTATAATCACACAGTGGCTTCACCCACCAAGAGACAAAAACATTAACACAATCTAGTATCCAAGAAAGGTGGCTGGATCATGCCCGGCTTCCTTCATTCGGCCGAGGCTGGTTACGCATACCCAGTTTTTACCTCCAGCATGACTCGCTTCATCACCTCCCTAGAGATGGACAATGGGTTATATTCAGACTAATGGCTGGGCACAGCAGACTTCATGAACTGTTTTGGTGTAGGAAACACGGTGATTGTCTTACTCCCATCTGTCCCTGGTTTTGGGTTCACCCTTCTACTTTCTCCGGAGAGGTTTTTAACTAAAGTCCATGCTTTATTTCCATTCTGTCTAACGTCTAGGTTGGAGCAAGTTTCTGTCCATTTATCTCTTTTAGCCTCATTAACTGCAAGCTTTACTCTGGCACGTGCTTTATTTTATTGGATCTTTGCTTCTGGTGAGCATGCAGTTTCGAGTAAAATTCTTGCTTTATTCCTTAAAGATATAGTATTTTGAATTTCCTTAATCCAGAAAGGTTTATATGTCTTCCGGCTGCCCCTTGGGATGACTTTCAACGCTGCTTTCATGATTGCTTGGCCAAAGCATGAGTAGTTATGACAACTGGATCGTCACGTCCTAGGTCCCTGTGCCTTCAGGATAGTTTCCGGTATTCAGGTGGTTAGCATTCTTGTTTCCACTTCTAAGACTTTTCAGCCCCCCTCCGGCTCCTTCCCTCCCACAGGGGACAGTAAGGTGTGGTGCACCGGTTTTTTTTTTAAATCGAGGTTTGCTCCTCTAGATCTATTGTGTTTTGCCTGGGGATTCGCACCCCCAGTTACCAGGACTACCTCGGGGAGGGTGTGGCTCTTCGCCAAGCACAATGGTCTTGGGGTAAGAGAGGCTATGCTAGGTCAAGAGGCTGACACCGCAATGGACGCTCCTTTCATGAACAGATAGATATTCACAAGACCTAGGGTGAAGTAAGGGGGCAAAACCCTACCCACAACACCAACACTTCTTACCCCCTGCCTTTCGAGGCTCAGTCACCTTTGGCTCGGATGGATATCGCAACCCTTCGGCCTTGATTCCATGATAGGTACCGTAAATCTGGGAGAAAATGTGGCTTTTCTGTCTACTCCCGGGAGTGAACCCGGACCACAAGGAGTTCGTCACCTTGTCACCGCACAGTCCGGTTTAGCCAACTACGTTGGAGAGCCGGGGCATCGATTGTGATAACATAAGTCTAACTGACTGTCTACAAATAAATAACAAAAACGTGATAGCAGCTTTCACTTCCGGGGCATATAACAATGTCGCTGAACCTTGGACGAGTGCTTCGTGTTCACAAAGTAACAGAGATTTGTGCTTTATGTTATTTAAAAGATGTATTGCACAAACTTATCTATAAATTACACATAGGAAGTATACAAATATATAATTATATATTTTTAGGCATTTGTAAATATATAATTAATAATTGTTATGATGCAAGGACCTTTATTTGTAATTTACTAATTCAACATGTGTTAAGAACAGGTCAGGTCACCACAGGCACCCTACGTGTCCAATGGCAATACTAACCACTGTCTAGTCATTAGACATATACTGATATAGTTCACTCATGCTTAGCTGAAATACTTGGCTGGTACAGATGAGATAACAATGACGATTTGCTTTCGTTGTTTATCGCATAATTTAATTTATGAAAATCGGATCTGGTGTCATATGTGAAATTAATTACGCTCTCCTGTCTCAAAAGGCAGAGTGGTAACAGTTAAAAGTAAAGTAGTATTTCAATTGGTAAAGGTAAAGTCGGGAGATATGAACCAGCATCATTGCACATGGTTATAAACCATAAGTGTTCTGACACTAGTACGGATATTCAGAACAGCTGATAAGAAACTGTCCGCCTGTGTCGCCGTCCACACACAACCTAGTAGTTAACTTACAGTTACAGGGACGTCCCTCCATTTACTCCAGAGTGTTAACTCTGGTACCTATTACCTAGAGGATGGGTGAACCCCGGGAACCGCCTGGTTTTGAAAACCAACCCCGGGCTGCAGCGAGTCGCAGCTGGATTTGAAAGTGAGTCTCCCATTAACTGCGCTAACACAACCCCTCGTACTACTACTACTAGTAGTAGAGTTGACAAAATCCTGCGACTCAGAGAAGAACAAGTAGGTTTTCGACGTGAAACGTAAAAGCTTTTTAGATAAATATTAACCTGGAGACTAATTAATAATTTTAGACAAGTTAACCCTTTGACTTTAAAAAGGCTTTTAATAGCTTATAGAAAATCACTGCAGGGCATTTTGTAATCTATGGTATACCAGTGAAAGTGAAAAAAATCATTAAATATAAGGCAGTGTAAAAAGGTTCAGCTGCTGCCTTTATGTAGTGGCTAGATGCTTGCCTGCATCTCTGAAGGTCATGGGTTCAGCTGCTGCCTTTATGTAGTGGCTAGATGCTTGCCTGCATCTCTGAAGGTCATGGGTTCAGCTGCTGCCTTTATGTAGTGGCTAGATGCTTGCCTGCATCTCTGAAGGTCATGGGTTCAGCTGCTGCCTTTATGTAGTGGGTAGATGCTTGCCTGCATCTCTGAAGGTCATGGGTTCAGGTCCTGATGGAGCCCTACTTTTCTCGATGACCTTGTCTTCTAGGTCGACCAAGCCTTAACTCTTTGAGTCCCGGGGGTTTAGCACAGGCCCAGGGGGTAGTAAAGAAAGTAATAAAATTGGCGCATCATGCGTCCATTGGGCTTCTAGGTAGGAACCTATGAACGTATGATACGTTCCTTGGGACTCAAAGAGTTAAATGGGTACCAGTGCTAGAATGTAAAGATGGGCAGCGTGATGTTGACACATCACCCACTGAGTGCTGACTAGTCTGTAAAATATAGGTCTAACCCTGAATGCCCAGTCGGCCTGAAGGTGGGGAAAAGGGTCCTTATGTATGCAGGTTCAGACTGTGCAGTGTGAACAGATGATTGTTCACAAATAAAAATAATAAATATAAGATGTATAAAGGTTTGGAGCTGCCATAATGTGGCAGCTATATGCTCGCCTGTGGGTCCGAAGGTCGGGAGCTCAGGTCCTGATGGAGGCAGATTTTTTTTAAAATATTTTTTAATAATGACCTTGGCTCCCAGGTCAGTTGAGTCTTGAATAGATACCAAGTAAAGTCTTAGGATGTAAAGGTGGCTGGCTTAATGTTGACCTCGTCACCTATTGAGTGCCAGTTGGTTTGTAAGATATAGCCTAGTATGCCTGAAGGTGTAGACAAGAGTCCCTAATGAAATAAGGTTCAAAGTGTGCATTGCAGACAAATGATGGTTTAAGTTATTGGTTTGAAGTGAAATGGGGATGCATTTGATCTCCTCTGTTATTTCGCACAACCATTGTCTCTAAAGTAAAAAGTAAAAGATCTTTTTCCATGCTTTGGGCATATAGGGCTAGACTAATCGGCACATTGGTGATGTGATGTTCCTTTATTTACCAGGATTGCAGCTAATACCCACTCAAGACTGAGTCGATCTTGGAGCCAAGATCATTTATGAAAAATGTCAGGTTCGGTGAGGACCCGAACCCACTACCTTGCAATCGGCAGGCATGCATCTAGCTGCCTGACCACAGCAACTCCATCCATAATTATTTACTGGGTGATATAAAAATGTTGTGTTGGAAACACCGGTGAAACACCGGCATTGACTGGTGGAGAACACACTGTTGAAAAATCTTGATGTTGATGAAGATATTGTTCTGCTAAGTAAAAACAACAGTGACATGCAATGAAAAACAGATGGTTTAGCAAACATAGCATCAAGGGTTAAGACTACAAATATGTTATGAAAAGACAAGTGTATTGAAGACACCAAAAATAAAGCAGATGTAACACTAGAAACTTTTTTTGATAGTGAAGGAAACATAAAGAAATAAATTATGAACTGTATAGGCAAGGCATCAGTGGCTTTTAGAAACGTGAAAAAAATATAGAACTCTAAATTGTATAGTTTTAAAACCAAGATATGTATTTTCAGTTCTAATGTTATTTCACTTTAATCTGCCAGTGAAAATTGGAGAAACACTAAAGACATGGAATGAAAGTTGAAAGCATTTGAAAGCAAATGCCTGAGGGATAGGTTGAACATAAAATGGGATTCATTCAAGAGGGTTGGAGAAATAACAGAAAAGTATGGGCAGCCATATATATCAACAGTTATGAGACAGAAAATAGTGCTACATTGGACACATCCTGAGAAGAAACCAGCAGAGAATCACCAAACAGGCATTACAGTGGGAAATAAAGGGATTAAGCATGCGGGAAGGATCAAAAGAAAACCCTTAAATGAACATTGATGAGGAAGGCTATAGGTGCTGGTCTCGGTTCCATAAATGATATTGATTTAATTGATTGCATAGGATAGAGCAGAATCGAGGAATAGACTGAAAGCCCGTGTGACATATAATATCACGACAGGACAGTGACAATAAAGGAGGTGCATTGTTAAGTTTTCTGCATTATTCCACTCAGCTGTGATTTTGTCACTGTCAGTTTCCTCACACTGTTTGTGCTTATCCGTTGCTAGCACATTTTGACTCATGCCATTTTTTGTTTGTCCTTTAAAGGCAGACATTTTGTTTACGCACACACTTGAATGGAAATCATACTTCTTGCATCTGCCTCTAGAATATCGCTGTCAGACTCACACTATCTTCTTCTTCTTCAGCATTCCAAACTCTTGAGGTTCATTGCTGCAGATATCACCTGCCTCCATTCATCTCTCTGGTTGGCCTTCTCTTTCCAGTTGGTGACACCAAGTGTTTGCAGGTCTGATTGGATATTATCTCTCAGTCATCTTCTTGGTTCGCCTCGTGGTCTCCCTCACACTATAAATTATTTTTTTTCAAACTGCTTCAGAGTTTGCAGCTAGGCTTTATTTCTTTAGTGCTTTTATCAGTGCTTACAATCTGAGTTTGTTCAACAGTATCTGGATTTTCTGTGACTTCCAGATTATATGACACCCATTTACCTTGTAACAATTTCACTGCCATTTAAACTCGTTCATCGTCTGCTTCCCTGCATTTCATGAATCTTCATGTCTCTCTGTTCCTTGGCAGTGGTTTTAACCAGTTATAATGTTACCTGTTGATACTTCAGCTTGGTGAGCTGTGTGTATCTTATTAGTTCCTGCTGTTCAGTAATTCATGGACTTAACTGCTAGAGCTGTTCCCTTCCATTTCCTTCCTGTTAGCACTGGAAGTTACAGACAGTTAGGCCGAAGATCTGTCAGACCATCATCATTAACCTGGCATTTGTCAAATTTTATTTCTCTTTTGCAGACTTGTAGATCAGCATAAACATGCCTTCTGCAGAGCAGCACGCTGTCTTATAGATCTAGAGGCACTTGTAACCTTTCTCTCGTGTGTTTGTTAATCATTATTTTCATTGTCTAAACAATGATGGGTCGCCGTCATATCGCTGAACTGCACTGGCAAGGAATCCCAGAGCTAATACATCTAGAGGTGCTGTGGTATGAAACTATGATGGGGAAAGAGTGGCACTCATCAGCCCATCCCCAAGTCACGCCTTTTTAATTTCACAAACTAATTCTAATGTCCACCGAGTCGGGGTTTTACCAGTATTTGTTGTCTTAGTCTGGCGGGATGATTTGGAGGTTTGACTTCTATGTATTAGCTCTCTGGACAGCTTTCCAGATCATGGTGAGGTTCATCCCAGCCAGAATCTCTGTGATCCATTTTTTTAAAACACATTGTCAGATCAACATCTTTATTCTATGTGTTATATTGGGACACTGCTCACTATGATATAAAAATAAAAATCTGTCTGTTGACATTAAGAATAATGTGTGTGTGTGTAGATATGTACGTTTGTGTGTGTGTACATATATATATATAGTCCAATCAGTAAACAACAAGACTCATTTTATTAAGGCCGAGACAAAATCATCATCCATAAAGCCAAGTATGTCATCCAAACATGCACCATTCTTCTATAAGTTGCCCAAATTGCAACACCACCTGGCCAGCAGATGGCAAATAATCCATCATGTTATTCAGTTGGTGAGTTGCTTTTTTTTAATTATCATTGAGCAAACAGAACATTACATTCTGGTTGAAACTCAGGGGAAAATGCTGTTGAGTCAGTTAAATTGATGAAACAGGTTTATTGGGATCATTGTTTATCTCGTGCAGAGATATTTAGCTGGTATTCACCATTTAGAGCTGGTGCGAAAACTATTAGAGATAAAGCTGCGTTGGGTGTTCAGTTTCTGTTTGCGATGATAAACGCATTGGCAGAGTCAGAGATCAGACATGAGAAGACTGGTGTCTGACTGTGAAGATGATGGCAGATGAATATGATGTTTCCCTTTGTGGGTTCATGGCCTTATTATGGAGAAAAAAAATCAAGAATTTTAGAATAGACCAACTGTCTCCCCAACAAGCATGTCAAATGTGTCGACTAATTAGGTAGTATCCTTCAAAGTCAGAGTACATCTGCCTGAGAGGCAAGGAACCAAGAGTCTGCAAAGAAATAGATGGATATGTGACACGGATATGCATGCAACACTCAGGTTCTGGAACAATGCTAAAATCCAGAGGTGGACGAAAACCCAGAACTTTCTGCCGGAGTTTACAGCCAGTGAATGCAAAAAAAAAGAATAATAATAATATGATGTTGAACTGGATAAAAATTGATTCTGATAAACATATCTCATCAGTTTAACTATCTCATAAGCACTTTTATGGCTTGCCATGCATCATTTTACAACCAATTTGTCTTGGTCATAATAAAGTCAGTCTCTTTGTGTAATTTTTGGACTGTCTGTATATATCTTTTTATAAAATCACCCTTATTTTTCTACATGATTCACTGAGTGGTGATACTAATTTAAACATGTATAAACAGATGTTCATTTTAAGTTAATATGCACTGATGAAAATGTCTTAGGATAAATGCTGATTTTAAGAATAAGTTAGTATTAGTTATTGGCATGAAATGTTTAAGGTTTTATATCTCTAGCGTGGTTGAATTTTTCATCAGCAGTGCATTCCTCTCTTCATCCAACAACGATGGCTGAATCTTCAGGAATATCAGAGCAAGAAATTAATGGCAGACAATGGTATTTCTGTTCAGAAGTTTCAGGTGGCCTCATCAAAAGATGATGCAGATGCAATTGCATCACAGTTAAGTAAGTAGTGGATTAAAACTCAACACACATATCTTGATATAATTTATATACTTTGAGAAGCGTCCACACTGGCTGTTTTATTGTTTCTTCTGTTCACTTTTGCAGCATAGTTTAGCTGCCTCAGGAAACATGTGTAAACTGCAGAACTTTTTTCCTGAAACAACAAATAAGCTGCCAGTACTCACCAAAAAATTGCTATAAAAGATTCCAGTACTCACTATAAGGTATCTGCTATAAAAGACTCCAGTACTCACTATAAGGTATCTGCTATACTCACTATAAGGTATCTGCTATAAAAGATTCCAGTACTCACTAAAAGGTATCTGCTATAAAAGATTCCAGTACTCACTATAAGGTATCTGCAATAAAAGATTCCAGTACTCATAAGGTATCTTTTATGGCAGCACTGAAAAAAAAGAAGCCTAAAACAGGTGCCAGTACTGTCAGAAAGTCTTGATATTAGTGTAAAAAGTTTATGCAGATTACACAGAAAGTATTGGATTTAATCACAACAAGGGTCTACAGTTTGTAATGTAAATTTATTGTTGTACCAGTGGCATGTGGGCACCATGGGTATTGAAAGAGCAGTTGAACTGGTTCTGTCTGTGGATCAGCCTGACTTTAAATGGAAGAGAAATAGGCAAAACGAGGTACTTCAGCTGAATGAATTTTAAAATAGGTAAAGTCTGGAGATGTGAGCCAGTGTCATTGCACATGGTTATAAAACATAAGTGCCCTGCCACCAGTATGGACAGCTAATAAAAATAACTTTTCACCTGTGTTGCCATCCTCACGCAGTTCCTTAGCTACAGCAATGTTCCTCAATTTACCCCAGAGTGTTAACTCTGGTACCCATTATTTGGAGGCTGAACAAACCCTGGGAACCACCCGGTTTCAAACACTGGCGGTGGGCTACAGCGAGTCGCAGAGGGATTTGATAGCGAGTCTCCTATTGACTGGGCTAGCGCGGCCCCATCATCTGAATGAATTTTTAGTCATTCAAATGTAACAGTTTTGGTTAATTATTATAGCAACATTAATAAAGTGCAGCACCAAGCCTACTTACAGCTGGCACTTCCGACAGTGTTGAGTTAGGACATTTTATTGTTGTATGGAGATAGATTTATTATGAAGGAAATCAGAAATATATCAGGGGTTTTTAAAAAGCTAATTCTATATTTTGTTGTTTTTCGAATATTTCAGAGGTGAAAGAATATGTAGTGAAAGCACAGGTCCTTGCTGGTGGCAGAGGAAAGGGTGTTTTTGATACTGGATTCAAAGGAGGAGTTCACCTCACAAAGAAGTAAGGTTGAGCTGTAAATGTCAAATATATGTTGACTGGTGGAGCTGGGGGCAAAGAATAAACCTTGGTTCTCAGCCTAAAATGTTTGCTAGGAAATTTCCAGAGAAGTTAAGGTACTGATTGGTCTATAAAAATATGCCTATCTTGGGGTGATACGCGTCATTTACTTTACTACATGTTTGTAGTATTTGTTTACATTTTAGTTTTCATTTACACACAAAGTGCATCTCATTAAAGCCTGTCTAAAATATTGCACACACACAAAGGGAGCTGCCTTAGTTTAGTGACTAGATGCTCGAAGGTCGTGGGGTCAGGTTCTGGCAGAGCTGGACTTTTGTTGTTTTTCAGATATGACCTTGGCTCCCATGTCAACCCAGCCATATATCAATACCAGGTAAAATCTTTAGAAGTGAAGGCGGCTGGTGTGATCACATCACCTGCCAAATGCGGATTGGTCTGTAAAATATTGGTCTAGCCCTATATACCAATTACGCCTAAAGATGTGGAAAAGTTTTCTTCACTTCGCATACACAAATACTGGATTATGCAGATGACATAGATATAGTAGAAGAAAATTAACTAGAGACAGTGAACACAGTGATGCACTAGCCACAATAGATCAATCACTGGTAAAAGGAATTGTCTGGAAGCCTGGAGTACAATTAAAAAAAAAAAAAGAAGCATTATTAAAGACTTTTGAGAACACAATCTTCTGACGATTCTTTGTAGTCATGAAAGATGAAAACAGGAGATAATGCAGAAGCAACAAATCAAATTTATTATCTTTAAATCACCACTAATGGACTGAACTGGTTTGGACCTATATACAGAATGGCAGAGAACAGAGAAATAAAAACTATATACAAAAGTTGAATGGAGCAGACCAAGAATATTGTGGAGTGATAATATTTAGACAGTCTTGAAAAACATTTGGAATCATCAACTGGAAGCAGTTAAGAACAGACATCGTAGCTCTAAGGACATTCCCATAAGTGCAATGCCCCCATCTTCAGCAGCCAATGCAGAGTGTCAAATTTGATGGTGCCAGTAGCATCTGATTGTATGTCCATCTTGCCTTTCCTATAAGTATTAAGTTTAGAGTTGATTTTTTTTTAAGCACACTACCAAAAATACTAGAATATGGACAGTTTTTTTGGGAAATGTGTTGAGCATTGAATAATATTGATAAATTATCGTGTTATTATTTTCTGATAACAAATAACTACATAATGATTATTGTGTTTCATGTCTTTTAAAAAAATTGGAACAGTTTGCACAGATGTTTTGTGTGTGTGTGTGAAATTCTATTCCCAAATCCTCATAGTAAAAAACCATGTATTCCAGCCCTGCAGACGTGAAGGCATTGGTTGAAAATATGCTTGGACATAGGCTGGTCACTAAACAAACACCCAAGAATGGTGTATTGGTCACCAAGGTAATTAATGACTTGATATCACATTTATTAGATTGATTCTTACTGTCTCAGTCATCTTTGAGTGTTAGCTGATACCTGTGAATTTATGTTGTATGCAATTTCAGTGGCCTCAGTGGTTCCCTACTAAATTATATTTCTCTCCTTGTGGGTTCCATTTCCCCTTTGAGGGGAAAAGAAGAACAGAGCCACTGCCTACCCAAAAGTATGTCATAAGAGTCAACTAATTAGGAGCTTCCTTCAAAGTGCATATGCTTGAGAGGCAAAGAACCAACAGTTTGCACATAAATGAGTCGGATCTGTAAAATGGATTTGCAAACAAAGCTAAAGTTCTGGAATAGGGCTGGAGTCCAGAAGTGGACGATAGTTTATAGCTGGTGAGCGTGAAGAAGAATGATATGTCAGCATAGATTTTGAAAAGTGCACTCATTATGTCTCAGTTTTAGGCAAACTTATCTATCTGTAACAAGTAAACTTTAAAACAGTGCACATAGCAGCCAGGTACATTATCCGTGCAAAAATGAAATCTGTTGTCTCTGTGGAAGCGAAAAGTGGAAGCTTTATGGTTTGATATGATCTTGCAGAGGATCTGTAAATGTGCGGTTGACCACAAAATATGTGCCATCTCCTGATAGTAGAGCAGGAGAACGATTGCATATAAGTTGGTAATGAACTATTTGTTGATTGTTACTAGTCGTCCCTTTGTGCGATGCAATTTGAAGCCAACCCTGGCTCTCGCCGGGAGACCTGATTATAGCTGGGTCACAATTGTGGCCATGGCGACTGAAAGGGGTTTCTGGGACCTCTCCATGGGTGATCCTCATCCACATGGTGGCACTTTGTGTCACCGGGTGTTTAACATTTGTGTAATGTCCTGGTAGGTTACAACAAGCAAGCAAGCATTTGTTGAAGCCAAAAATTATCCAGGCTTCTCAGCCGTTGCTGATGATCAGCTAATAAAAACAAACATCCTCTCAGTGGCACTGGGCATCATCTCTTTGATCAAAGAAGGTGTGACAGATGAGATCCAGTAGCATACCATGTTACTTGTGATCTTAAACATTGGTGGGCTGGTTCACAAGAGTATATCCTTAGAGGGCAGAGTGTGAGCGCTGAATTCTGTCATTCTCGAAACACATCAACTCTGCACAGACATTGCCCTCAGAAGTGGCACACCAGCTTTTTGATTCTGCATCCTGGCAATGCCCCTGCTCTTAGGGTCATCACAAATAACTGTCTATCCCAGGTAGTTAGCATCCTTTGGATATTTTCTCCATGGTATGCTGGGAAATGAAATGATAGAAAAATTGGCTTGTTCTGAACCACTTGGTGGTAAACTGGTGCCTTACAAGCTAGAGGTTGTAAGGGCCCTTTGGCAGTGAGTAAACAGTGCAGAGGCACATATAGATCCTCACTGTCTGAAGCGAATGTGAAGCAAGGAGTGACGAGGGGATCTGGCTAATACTCGATGCTCAGAGGAAAGGCAAGATGGGCATACAATCAGACTGCTACTGACACTATCGGTATTGAAACTCTGCGCCGGCTGATGAAGATGGGGACAGAGCGCTTATGGGAATGCCCCGGGTTCTGTAATGTAGCGTATTGAACCAACGCAGTTCATGTGTGTATGTGTGCATATGCACTTATATTTATCTATGTGTGTTTATATATGGTATTTTTTTTTTAAAGGTGCATAGGTCCACACATGCAAAAATAACCGGCATTTTAAGGGGCTGAAAATAAATGACTACTAAATATTACCATGCTTTTATACACTTCAAATAAAGTTGGTTTTTCCCTCACTCACAGACAGCTGTGTTTAATACAGTAGTTTTTTTTCCCCCATTGCTATTATGTTTAAAAAAAAAGTTTTATATTTTGCAGGTTATGGTGGCAGAAGCTCTTGACATTTCTCGTGAAACATATTTTGCAATTTTAATGGATCGAGATCACAGTGGACCAGTTTTAGTTGGAAGTCCTAAAGGTGGAATGGACATTGAAGAAGTCGCAGAAAAGGAACCAGAGGCAATTTTCAAAGTGAGAATTAAATAGCCACTTTTGATTAGTGACCTCTTCTAGAAGATGCTAAGTTTGGCATTATTAACTAGGTTGTTTTTAGTGAATATTTCTAGGATTTCTTTGCTGTACAGCAGTAAAACCATACATTGGTCATCATTGTTCCCTTACATGACACAAGTATAGTAATGCATTCTTATGTTGTTTTTGTTTGGGATAACCAGTTTTCAGGTATTCAAGAGATATTTTTAGAGTTTTTACACTTAATTATCAGGATTCATAGTGAAATTATTTTTGGAAATTAGGAAAGTTCAGATGATTTGAAGATCCAGGTAACTTTTTAAACTATGAAAATAGAGGAATCCTTCTAAGACAAAATGCACACATTAACATTCTTAGCATATTTAGAAAAAGAATTTAATCAAGTTTGGGTATAGGGAAGGAAATAAATTTGTGAATCAAGAATAGACATCATTGCACTTGGGACATTCTCCCAAATGTTTCATATTAGAATTTTATCAAGTGATGCTGGCCACTGTACTCAGAGTACACCTATGTCTATTTCCAGAGTCTGCACAGTCAGTCCTCTTCAATTATAACTGCTGCAATTTTAAAATATATTTTTGCCTGTAACAACCTTTATCTACAGATGGCAAGGCAAATATATGCCACATGCACATGACTGGCAAATCCTGTGTACAGTCTACATTTCCATGTGTTCCAGTTTCTCTATTTAAGTGTGAGATAATGTGAGCAGCCCCGAACCATACTCCATAATCAAAAATTATCAGCCTCCGATAGAGTGTGTTCAGCCCTTTAGACCTTCTGACAAAAAAATATGTACACTTCATTTATAAAATTCAGACCTTTGAGAGCATTATATTCTCACAGTTTCTGGTTTATGCGTCAGCCAGTTTTAACATGTTGCTTTTGAGCAATTTTTTTTAAAAACAGATTGAATAACACATGCACTTACTTCTAGGAAAAAAGTTGCCAGTCTTTGACCACAAATTTTTTTAAATAAAACAAAGAATAGCACATACACATACAATCTCAACATGATGACTAACTAGATCAGACTTCATCAACAATAATAGAGCGTCCTTGAGAAAAAATGTGTACCCAGCAATGCACCGTTTTACATGATAAACATTTATCAGCATGAACAGGCAGCATTTCCTTGTGAATGTGCTTTGCAGGCAGCTCTTGTGCACCCCCCCCCCCCTCCCTGCCAACCACAAATGCACAACAGTTTGTTGTTCTTTGAGGGTGCACTCTGTAAGTACAGTCGCCATTTTGTTTCTGTGTTACGAATGCACATGCAACACCTAGCGCCACCTAACAAGTGGAAACATCAAGTTCGCTGCTGCTGTCACTTAATGACACCTTTAGAAACCACCAACTACGTTGCCATTCCTTGACCTTGCAAATTTTTTAAAATAGGTTTATATTCTTCAAGAATAATTGTCTCTCTCTTATTTATAGGAACCCATTGACATCATGTCAGGACCACAGAGACAACAACTGCTGAGTTTGGCAGATAAGCTTGGATTTAAGGGTCCTAAACAACAGGAGGTAATAATCTCTGTCTTTGGAGATTTGAAAAATCATTATAGGAAAAGTTTTTTTTATATATATATATATCATTAAAAGTTATGATTCTTGACTTCAAGTTATTAGGTTAGAGTTTAATTAGCGATTTGTGTGTTCTTTCCAAATGATAATGCAAAAAATGCAAATGTTTCTGCTCTGGTAGAAGACTTGAAAAACACAACATATATACAAACACTTAATGTGTGCTCCACCTTGAAAGATTCATTTTGGAAAATGTTTAAGCTAGTGTATTTATTATTCATGAGGACAAAGAAAACACCAAGATGAAGCAACAAAATTAAAACATTTTCAAAATGGTATTCACCGATATAACTTGAGCCAGTCTGGAAGTCATGACCTAGAGAAAACCCCTGTAAAAGGGATTTTGCTTCATCTGTTGTTCAGAGCAGTCATCACTTGTAGTCATTATAACTTTCACTTTACACTGTAAGTTCATCATCATAGTAATAATTGAAGACTCATTAATGACTAATTAATGTTGACAGCTGTGAACAAATATTTCTCTCCCCAGTCGTGAATTTTTTAATACACTTCGAGGTGAATTTAGACATGGATGAGACAGAACAGGTTTGCCACACTAAGTGTGGGAAACACAGTACATATGTGTGTGTGTTTATATTTTCATGAAGAGGTGTTGGCACTGGGGTGTAATATAATTACCAGTCCACTTTAAACAGTTTTTTCCATAGTAGTTTAATTAAATTTTAAAAGTGTCCAGTTATATGAGTGTAGAATTCAGTTAAACATAAACAGTTGTGCATAATACAAAATTTTTCCAGATATTTGTTGATTGAGCTTTGCTTTCTTAGGCTGCTGACCAGATGGCCAGATTGTATGACCTGTTTTTGAAAGTTGATGCCACTCAAGTTGAAATAAATCCATTTGGAGAAACTACTGATGGAAGAGGTCAGTTAAGGTTAACTTTGCTCTTTGATTTCCTCTCTGGCTCTTGTAACTTTTTTAAGCAATACTGCCTTTGGTAGCATGTATTTCCCATGTGGGTTCCGTGGCCCTATTATAGGAGGGGGGAAACAAGAATAGGCCCACTGCCTACCCAAAAGCATGTCGTGAGAGTCGACTAATTGGGAGCTTCCTTTGAAGTAGGAGTGCATCTGCCTGAGAAGTAAAGAACCAGCAGTCTGCATACAAATGATTCAGATCTGTCAAACGGATGCACATGCAACACTCGGGTTCTGAAACAGGACTGCAGTTGAAAAGTGGATGAACAACCAGAAGTTTCCGCCAGAGTTTACAGCTGGTGAACGCAAAGAAGAAGAGTAGCATGTATTAGTTATTTTAATTTTTTGTGTGTCATTTTTTTATTTACACTAATACTTTTAGGTGTCATCTTGTTCTCTTCTTCAAATTCATGAAGTGCTGGAATGAGATGTAAAGATAATTGTTTGCTTTTTGTATTGTACTCTGTAAGTTTAACTTTATTTCTCTAAAGTTCTTCTTGATGTCCTTGTTCTATCATTTACATGATCTTACTGTTTTGGTTAGAAACACTAGGCCATATGAAGTCAGTCCTCTTCGTTTTGAACTTTTTAAACTTGTTGAAGATTTTTTGAAAGAAATAGCTATAAATGTAGGCATTTTTCATGTTGATAGAAACATTAGTTGACAGATCATTCTCACTACACATGGAACTATTCAGTGCACAAGTGCTAGGATCCCGTTTTCAGTATATCGCTCAACATTTAGTGGATGATGACAGCAGCTCTGTATTGTATTGGTTTCTTCCCCTTGGCTTCCTACGTAGTGCTCGTCTGGCATAATACCTTTTTTTTTTAAACTTGCTGTTTTTGCATCTGGTCAAAAACAGCCCCACTGACACAAGAATGATTTCCTACTTATGTGTAATACAGTTGAAAGAACAATTATGAATTAATGACCTTCTGGTGTGGATTCTGGGGCCCCATTGGGGGGTAGGGATACATTAACTGCCCCTAAGAGGCACGGCATAGTTTGTGACTAATTAGCGTTGTTTCCTTCGAAGTCAGAGTGCATCTGCCTGAGAGAAGCGGAACCAGCAATTCTGGAAACAAACAAGCCAAACCTGTAAAGTAGATGTGCACACAAACATTCTGGAACAATACTTAAGTGCACCCCGTGTGGGTTCCGGGGCCCCATTGTGGGGAAAACAAGAATAGACCCACTGCCTCCCCAAAAGCATGTCGTAAGAGTCGACTAATTGGGGAGCTTCCTTTGAAGTCGGAGTGCATCTGCCGGAGAGGCAAGGAACCAATAGTCAGTATTCAAGAGAATGAGATCTGTAAAACTGATGCACACGCAACACTCAGGTTCTGGCGCAGGACTGCAGTTCAGTAGTGGACGAGCAACCAGAACTTTCCGCCAGAGTGTACAGCTGGTGAACGCGAAGAAGAAGAAGAATACTTAAGTGCAAAAGTGGATCAACAACCAGAACATTCTGCTAACTGGTAAATGCTAAGAAGAAGAAATTGGTGTCTGAATTTTTTTTAGAAAAAGAAAGAAATGATCACCATTTTATGTTGTGGAAAAACTAAATAAAATATTGCTGTATGTTTTTCCCCACAGTCGTTTGCTTTGATGCAAAAATTAACTTTGATGACAATGCTCAGTTCCGTCAAAAAGAAATTTTTGCTATGGATTATATGAGTGAGAGTGATCCCAGAGAGGTGGAAGCAGCAAAGCACAATCTCAACTATATCGGCATGGATGGCAATATAGCCTGCTTAGGTAATGATTGGGAAGATAATTGTTAAAACTTGTTTGTAATATCAATGTCGGCATGGATGGCAATATAGCCTGCTTAGGTAATGCTTGTGAAGATAATTGTTAAAACTTGTTTGTAATATCAATGTCGGCATGGATGGCAATATAGCCTGCTTAGGTAATGCTTGTGAAGATAATTGTTAAAACTTGTTTGTAATATCAATGTCGGCATGGATGGCAATATAGCCTGCTTAGGTAATGATTGGGAAGATAATTGTTAAAACTTGTTTGTAATATCAATGTCGGCATGGATGGCGGTGTAGCCTGCTTAGGTAATGCTTGTGAAGATAATTGTTAAAACTTGTTTGTAATATCAATGTTGGCATGGATGGCGGTGTAGCCTGCTTAGGTAATGATTGGGAAGATAATTGTTAAAACTTGTTTGTAATATCAATGTTGGCATGGATGGCGGTGAAGCCTGCTTAGGTAATGCTTGTGAAGATATCATCTTGACATTCCGTACCACTTCTTTTGATGAAATTCCCTCATAAAACAATCTTGACTTTGTTTCTGTCAAACTGTCTTCTCCTAATTAGTTTGTTCATTTTCCAAGAATCACTTTCATAGTCCAAACAATGATCACACTATCATTTCAGTATTCTCTTTCTGACATTCATTGTCAGTGATTTATTGCCTAAAATTTTCTGATGGTATAACTTGTTTCTGGATTGTTTGTTTGTTTTTGTTAGAGAAAGTCTTGTTTTGCAAGAATCAGTTGAATCTTTTAAAATGAGTTTTGAATATACATTTTGTATAATTTAGGCTGCAACCTGGCCTTCCGTTAAATTTAGTATACCACTACATAATCGTATGATTACTGAATGTGAGTCTGCAAATGCTCTTGATCTTTGACTTCACTAATGTTCTGATTGCCTCTTTTCTTGAAGTTTTCTGATAAATTGCCAGTGTCTATGGTGGTAACATAATTTTACATTCACTCCATCACAATAATTGTTGTTGTTGTCTTTTGTTGCTCATTTGCTTGTTCGTTCATTCAAGATAGAAAAATAAATACTGAGACTACTTTCAGTCTGCTTCTTTGTAAGCTTCAGTTATGTTTGTGATCATTGGTCTTTACTGTGTTTCTTGTCTCTTTCTTTGTGGCATATGGTTATGTGTGATTGTTCTTGGACTTTCATGCTACTTGCGTCCATCTGCTTATCCATCTGAATGAGTATATATATATATACATGGTGCTGCTTTGTAAGTGAAATACTGAAGAGCCATTCCTGTTGGCCATTGCAGCACACAAAAAAATAATTGATGACCGAAATGAGTTAATGTAAATTAAAATAAAAGCACATAAAGTGTTTAAAATTACAAAGAATTTAGTGAACTTAAGAATATAATGGAGTGTACTTACTCTTGACATGTACCATGTTTTCCTTCCATTTGGACATCAACTCTGAATTCCCACAGTGTTGCTGTGTTGTAATTCTGTACTGCTTGCTGTAGCCCATTTTCACTCTGTGGGTTCCAGGGCCCCATCTTCTTCTTCTTCTTCTTCACTTCCTCTTCTACTGCTGTGGGTGTCGAGGGAGATATAAGGTTCTGTTTCTGGCTCTTCTGGCTGCCTCGACCATAGGCACATCGTGCTTTTATAGAGTTTCTCTGATGTTATCCTTCCATCTTGTTCTTGGTCTACCCCGTGCTCTACGTCCTTCTTCTCTTTCCATGTATGCTTTGTATGGTATGGTGTCACAAGGCATTCTCTCTAAGTGTGCAAACCATTTCACATGCTGTCTTTGTATGTAATCCAGAATTGGTTCTGTGCCGACTTGTTCTCTTATGATCTCATTCCTGATCTTATCTCTTATGGTCACTCCTACAGCCCTTCTCAGACATCTCATTTCCGTGGTTACTAATTTTCTTTTATGGTTTGTTGTGAGTGACCATGTCTGGCACTGGTAGCACAGAGTTGGAATGAATTTACTTTGAATAAGATGTCTCTTTGTGCTGATTGGGATTGTCTTATGCTGTAAGAGGGGAGCTAGCTGTCCCAATACTTGGTTTGCTTTACTGCATCTAATGTCAATTTCTTTATCCAATTTCCCATCTTCGGTAAATGTAGTTCCCAGATATTTAAACTCAGATGCCCCATTATGGAGGAAAAAAAGAATAGACCCACTGCCCGCCAAACTAACCTGTTGTAAAAGTTTGCTAATCAGGGGTGTACCTTTAAAGTTGAAGCTCATCTGCATAAAAGTCAAGGAACCAGCAGTCTGCATATAAATAAGCTGTCAAGTCTGGGAATAAGACCTAAGACCATTAGTGGATGAACAACCAGAACTTTCCAGCAGTGAGTGCAAAGAAGGAGATGATGTATTCCATGTTTATCTATGTTTGTAACATTATAATGCACCGTCTGTTTATATCACATGCAGATTAATTGTGCTTTGACGGTTTCCATTATCAGAGGTTGAGTGCAATAGTCAGAGATTAGTAATGGTTTAAGTGCAATAGTCAGAGGTTAGTAATTCTTTGCATTTCATTGCTCATGTTGAATCAAATGTTTCTCTACAGTAAATGGAGCTGGGCTGGCTATGGCAACCATGGACATTATTCAATTGTATGGAGGATTACCCGCAAACTTTCTCGATGTTGGAGGTACAGTAACAGAGGAGCAGGTGTATAATGCCTTCAAGCTATTGACAAGTGATTCAAAGGTACATTTTTGTCACTTTTTTCATATGGTGTCGTGATAACATGCTATAGGTACTAGTAGTTCTGACTGGCACCTCTCCTTCTTTTCAGACGATAGAAACACTGCCCGTGGTTTTGAGTTGAACAGGACACACATTGAGAAAACTATAGGACAATGTTAACTAGAATGACTTTGCACTGGAATCCACAGGGGCATAGAAATAAAAGAGGACCCAAAAAAAAAAACCCACATGGAGATGGGAGCTAGAGAGTGAAGTTAAAAAGACTGGGAGGACATGGGGAGAGCTGCATGCGATAGCGAAGGATAGAATGACATGGCATGAGTTGGGTGAGGGCCATTGCTCCATTGGCGATTAGAAAGGTAAAAGAAGAACCAACCCATTGAACAAAGCTTAGGCGGTTTTATAGAGTATTATGTATTACCATTACTTTGTTAAAAAGAAGTAAAGGACTCTTTTCCACGCCTTTAAGTATATAGGGCTAGACCTATATTTTTATAGACCAATCGGCACAAGATGGGTGATGTGGTCAGCATCACGCCAGCCGCCTTTACTTTCCTGGGACTGCCCCCGGTACCCACTCAAGGCTGGGCTGACCTGGGAGCCAAGGTCATTTTTGAAAAAAGTCCGGCGCTGCCAGGAAGCGAACCCACGACCTTTAGATCCGCGACGAGCGTCTAGCCACTCGGCCACAGTGACTCCCATACACCTGTATGTTTAGAACAAAACATGCTGCAGAAGCTGTGGGATTAGCATCTAAGTGAAACCCCTATTAGCGAAACTAGTCTTCTTCTTCTTTCCGTTCGCCTGAAATAAGTTGTCTATGTCAGCAATTTTGTCTCTTGTAAAAATTTCACTGTCGTTGTTAGTCCATTCAGTGGTCCATAAAGTTTACATTCCACTATTGTTCTTTCTGGCCAAAAGATTTGCCTTAATGTGTCATATTCGGTGCAGTCCTGGAGTACATGCTCTGCTGTCTGTGGCACCTTTCCACAGTGCACATGGCTGATACGCATATCTTGAATTTTGTGTTCATGTGAGCGAAACTAGTTATTGTGTGTCTGTCCTATGCCGAGTGAAAGTGTATAAACCTCTGCTTGCTGAATTGTGCTACAATCATTCAAGCATGTTTAATTAATTAGAAAAATATTTAGGCTTCACTGTTGAAATTTAATTTGAAGAAAAAAAATATTTAAGAAAATATTTTAAGTAACTGGTAAAATCTGGAATAGAACAAGTAAAACTGCATTTGACAAAAGTGAACGACATCTTATATAATAAATCAATCATTGATCCTGAAGTTTAGAAAAGGAACTCTTGCATGCTATATAGAGCCAGTTTTAACATATGGCTGTGAATCCTAATAAATAAGTCATATAATTTCTTGAAACCTCAGAGATTTGGTCTTACAGAGGAATCCTTTCAGTTCTTTAGACAGCCAACAAAGAGCAACCCAGCTGTTTTGTAAGAGATGAAGACCTGAAGCTAGCTTGTCACAAACATCAGAAAAAGACCATCATAATTTTGTGCTATGTTATGAGAAGAGAAAAATTGGAATATAAGGTGTCCACTTCAAAGATTTATGGGGAAAAAGACAAAGACCATGCAAGAAAAATTTTGGACAGCCTGTTGTCAAGGTATGGAAGGGTGTCACCCACAAACGGATACATGCTGTTGAAAATTGTAAGCTGTAAAGAGGCATGATCACCCTTGCCAGTCGGCAAAACAATCGATGATGGTGATGATTATGTCTATATATAACTGTTGAGTAAATAACTATGGTTTGTAATTTGAGTCCGTACAATTTTAATTAAGTAGCAACTATGTCACTTTTCTCTTTCTATTTTTATAATAGGTGAAAGCTATTTTGGTAAATGTATTTGGAGGTATTGTCAACTGTGCTGTCATCGCAAATGGAATCACAAATGCTTGCAAGTCTATCAATCTGCAACTACCCCTAATTGTGAGACTGGAAGGTATGTTGATTAGAAGACAACTGTTTATGACTGAGAATCTGCCATTAAATATCCGCTGCTTGTGTAGTTATTGTATGTCATATTAGAGACCATCACAATAAGCTGTTGTTGCAGAAAGTAGAATTAAGTTTGTTGTATGTGTATGCAATTTTGTTTAATACTAGTATCATCATTATTATCCCATAACACTGTGTGTCGTTGAGTCACCTGTTGCTGTTGACTGTCAGATACGCTTCCTCCACCTTTGATAGTTAGATGCAGTGGACTTCATGGTTTGCAATGTCAAACCATGTTCCACAGCTTCTAAATAAGTTTTCAACAGTTTACTAACTGTCGATGACTCACTTCCATATATCAAGAAAGGATTTCTATAGCTTTTAAGAATTCTTTTTCTCGTCTCAATTGACAAAGAAATATTGCACAGAATATTCTCCACTGTGTAAAATGCTGCCTTTGTTTGAGCTATTCTGCATTTAACTTCTTTAATACATATTCCATCTTAAGTTATATAAGCAAAGATTACACCAGAAAAATTCTTCTTTTCTGCAACGCTTAACGAAATGTACGTACAATTAGCTAACTAGGTAGAAAAGCATAAGCATGCTCTTGCAATGACGAATAATTAATACTCAGCTATATTGCTTGTTTGAGTTTCTATTTAGTTCATGCAGTTTAAATTTCAGTGGGCCAGTTTGTCTTATACAGCTTGTCTACAAAGGACAACCCTGCAGAGCTTGTTCAGCCATTGTTTACCTAGTCAGTATGCATACACCAACAAAGCCTGTGCCTATGTTTATTCAGTCTGTTATAACTTGTCCTGAGGTGAAGAATGGTAACATGTTCCACCCTGTCAGAAATATAGTAATCTTTAGGTTGAGTATATTTTGGGGGGGGGGGGGGGGGGGGGGAAGCATAGATAGGCCTAATTTTCTCAAAAGGAGTTTTTGCTGTCATCTTTATCTTATTCTTTCCAGTTTTTTACATGACCTGACCTAGGGGTTCAAAGTTAGTTGCGTATCCTTTTAGGATGTTGCAGAACCAAACCCCAGCATTTTTTGGCTGTTGTGGTTTTTGTAGGCAAATTTACATCCAGTGGTTTGCTATTGCTTTCTGGACGGTCAGCTTCTCGACACCACTGTCAAAACCCAATGCAAGGCCTGCAGCTGGGATCGAATCTGGTATTATGAAGCGCGTTCACAACGCCTAAGCGGAATAATCCCTTGGTGCCTAAAAGATCATGTATATACTGGGATCTCACTCACTGAGGCTCACGGGGGAAAATTGGACATCAGCCAGGCTTTTAAAAAGCTATTTGGTTCACACACAAAAACACTTGTAAATGCTACTTTTAGCTAATATATTCATATCTTGATCTGCATCACCATAGACAAGTCAGAAATGTGACATTTATTGGGAATTGGACTCAACCTGAAGTTTTGTGGCTTCTTGGGGCAGCAAGGTTAAAGAATGTTCTAAAGTGAAAGGTGTAGGTGAATCATGCAAAATGACAGCAGTGTTACAGTGTAGTGGACAGCCTGAAGAGATTTTCTTTGAGAAACTAATAAGTATTGAGTGCACCATGAAGATGTGTGACCGAAGGTATCAGAGATCCATTATAGCTACCTTCAGCGCAGAGATGGCACTTGCTTGATGTGTCTCATGAACTGTGATTTTAATTGGCTGATTTGTCATTAATTGCCCTCACATGGGTACAGACTTTTGCTTGTCTTTTGCCAGTATTTGTAAGTGTGAAAAACTGTCTGTTGATGTCCACGACATGTGGTAGTCAAACTACGCACTTGCTGATTTTTTATTTTTATTCTATTTCAGGCACAAATGTAGAAGAAGCCAAAAGGATTTTAGAGAGAAGTAATTTGCCCATAACTTCAGCCACAGATTTAGATGATGCAGCACAGAAGGCAGTTTCAAGTCTCTCCTAACAGATGAAACATATTTGTGTGAGTTGTAAAATGTTGTATAAAACTAGGCATTAAACATATTTGTCTCTGCTGAAGCAGATTAATTTAATTAATGCTCAGTTTCTGTTCACATTTCAGATGACAACTTGATTAAATTTATGTTTTACCTGGACCCCCTTTGTTATTTTCAAGGACACTAACCCATTTGAAGAGACTAGTATGATTTCACAGAATATTTTCAAGATAATATCCCTTGAGTGGTTCTGGTCCCTGATAACATTATATAATTTCCCATCTCTGCATGGTGCTGCAAGGAGTTGCCAGGGGATCTGGCCGATACTTAGCACTCAAGGGAAAGGCGAGACAGATATACAGAGAGTTATGGTGCCATTGGAATTGGAACTCTTCATTTGCTGCTAAAGATGGGGACGGAGCGCTTATGGGAGTGTCCCGAGTGCTATGATATTGATTCTTAATTCAACATTCCATCTCTGCATAAAGTAATTTTTAGTGGAATTATATTTGTCTTAGAAATATGTAGATTTTCAGTTTTATTCCTTTTAGGTTATCTGCTTTCATAAGTTTATACAGGGAAAAAATTACATAAAGTAGCCATAAAAATATCCCTTTTCATGCCTGAGGCGCATCAGGTATATGGGAAAAGCGTCCCATATTTTTACAGACCAGTCGGCACTGGGTGGGTAATGTGGTCAGCATTACGCCGGCAGTCTTTACTTCCCCAGGACAGCCATCCCGGTACTGGATGGGTCGACCTGTGACGCCCCGTACCATGATGAAAATCCACGCAGCCAGCAGTGGGTTTCGATCGCGGTACGTTGGATTACGAGTCGGACTCGCAACGCCTAAGCCACGGGCGCTGCCTTAGAGTAGCCATGACCCTCGGTAAATCACATCAGACTATTTTTTTTTTAAACATTAATCATATGCAGTGTAAGATATAATAAATAGTAACAAGTTTAATACATAGTTTTCTTTCTTTGGTTAACTTAATTCAGACCCATAACAGGTTCCTGACTTTAACGGTTTGTTGCATAACCAACCTCTGCATTTTATATTTTGGCACTTTAGTTTTACAAGGCAGTTTTATTAGTTTGCCATTGCTCACTGAACAGTCTGCTTTCGGTGCCATTGTCATATCAGTGCAAAACCATCTGCTGCTGCCATATAGCCTGCAGCTGGTATAGAACTAATATTTTGGTCATATCAAGCGCCACGGCGGATTGGAAAAAAATTATAGCAGAAGGCATGGTACCAGGAAGGAGGGGCAGGGGCCGACCAACACGAAGATGGGCACAGGATATAAGTGACTCCTTGAGTGTGAAAGTTCATGAGGCGGGAGAACTGGCGAGAGACCGAGTTTCTTTCAGGCAGACTGTGATGAGAGCGACGTTCTGCAAAGGACCTGCTACATGATGATGATGAGTAATGAAATGTTTCAAATGATGTCTCTTGTGCACCTTAGGTTATTCGTCTATACAACAAACTGCGAGGTTATTTATCTCTAAAACACTGCACTGTTACTTTAGAAGAAGCCAATGTTACTGGCCCATAAATTTACAGAATAACAGAACGCAAAAACATAAAATATAGGTTGTATTCAGAAAGAACAAAATCAGAATTTCATTTCGCATGTCAGCCCCCCACCCACTCCCGCAGTAATATGATTTCTGCAAATATATAGTAAATAGCTTGACCAGACACATTTAGGAATATATAGAAAGTCTGCAGTGGGTGAGTAGTATGTTTGGTTAGAGGCATAGCGAGGGATTACAATCTTAGATTATCCCACCTTAAATATCGTGCTATGAGGAGAACTAGGTATGTTTATAATGTATTTTTTATGTTTATAGTGTTTTTTTTTTTTAAAAACAACTCGTGAAAAAGTTGGTGATTCTACATTTAGCTGACGGACACCCCCCTCCCCTTCCCAAACCACTTTAGAGGATCATCCTATCAGACTGCGCTGCAACCATGGTCAGACGGCAAAAACAACATGTTAAACGTTGTATCGCCAAACAAGAACACTACACGGGTAGCCAAAGAATAATAATAAATCAACACAGAACTGGTGTCGTTAGCCGCTAAACGCTGCGAGATTTACTGTGGAGGAGATCCGATCACTTTTGGTTTGAGTGGTTCGACGTGCAATGAGGATAATCTGTCGACTAACTAACATCCTATCAGACTTTTTGGGACATGCTGAGTTTTGTCAGCAATAGTTTAGGCATTTACTAAGAGATGGCAGTATTTATCTGAGGGTTATGCTCACTGTGCAGTGTGTAGTTTGGATGATTGTTCATGCTGTACAGCAGGGCTATTCAACTGGCGCTAGTAAGTGGGCCCACAGATCATTGCCAGTTGCATTGTATTACTGATCTTTCTAGCTGGGGCTCAGGCCTCTGCCCTACAATGTTCGTCATTTCCACAGTTTTGGCCCCTGAGTGAACTTAACTCAATAGCCCTGATGTACATACAGTATGTAAAGTATTAGACCATCACATATCCTAGATCAGTGTTCTTCAACCGGTGGTGTTGCCACCACATTTGTTTCCTAATCATTTAACAGGTTGGGGTAGGTAGTTTTTTTTTTTTTTTTCTCCTTTTAGGATTGCAGTCTGTTGGAATAACATGTCAGAGATGAAAATGAAACATGTACAGATCCCCAAAACCCTGTTCAGCTGCATAAATTGTTTAATCTGTAGGCTGCAGCAAATGTCAAAGTTGCTGAAAATTGTGATTTTGTGATATCAAATGTAACAAAATTACTTCTATTTAAAAAATTGAAAATATAAACAAAATAGCTAGCAGAACTGCAGTTACATTTCTGCCAACTTTGTGAGAAAGTACTGGTGCCGCTGGTGTTTACCATCGTAATATATTATACAGTGTTTGCAGACACTGAATGCGGTTGTCGAAGCAAGACTGTCTTGAATCACTGACAAATAACATACTGTGCTGCCTTAACTTTCTGGCTTTTCGTTCACTTAACGTGGGTTACTTCAAAAAACATCAACACATGAGTTATGTGACGGGAGATTACTTCATTTCCAGTAAAGTCCCTGTTTTCAAGCTGAAGTACCACTTCTTTATCAGATACTCCTTTCACAGGCTGTAACATTCGAAGAGCAGCTGTTTAAAAAAAAAAAAGGATGAAATTAATTAACTGATCACATTTATTTTGTATAATAAACGGAGTGACTACATACGTTAATTTTTTCTTTCACAGATTAAATGAATGAAAACCACGCCTCCTTGTGTTTCATTTATAAATCATTGTTTTAACTGAAATTTACAACTGAAGAATTGTTGTTAAATGAACAAATAATACTGACAAGACCTAAGAAACCCGTTATGTTAATTAAAAAAATAATTATTTTACACTGTTTTGACATTATGTATCCAGAAGTAGTTAATTGTATTATTACATATGTAGGAAGACAGACTTTTTTATAAACAGCCTCCTGTTTTTTCTTTTTATGATTCAAATCTTTCTGTCTTATCACTGTGTGTGCCTTGAAACTTTGCACTCGTACTTGATCCAGAGTGTTCTGTAGATCAGTGACTTATTCTTTGTCTTTTAATTTATGTTCAGCATTTTTTATTCACTGCATTGAATGTTGAATTAAGAATCAACATCATAGCACTCAGGACATTCTCATAAGTGCCAAGTTCCCATCTTCAGCAGCAAGTGCAGATTTCCAGTTCTGATGGCACCAGTAACAGTTCTTGAGTCTTGAGCGTTGGCCAGATCCACTGGTGACTCCTCACAGCATTTTGCTTTAAAATACATAACATTTAAGCCAGATTTGAATGATGAGAATACCCTGAATAGATAAAAATACATAACATTTAAGCCAGATTTGAATGATGAGAATACCCTGAATAGATAAAAAGAGTAATGAGGATGTCTTCAAAGAAACTGACTCACAAAAAAAAAATTATTAACCATATCAGAAAGAGACAATCTACATTTTTTGGTCATGTGATGAGAAGGAAAAAACTGGAGTACACTGTGACAGTAGGAAAGTTGGAGGGGAGGAGAGGCAGAGGGAGACTGAGAGAAAAGATGCTGGACAGTCTGATATCATAGCATGGAGGATCATTTGTGTCAGAGCTGATTGAAAGTACTTCATCTTCTTCAGTCATGCGCATAATCCACTGTAAGCCATAAAATGGGATGTCTTTTCAAGGTCTCTTAGGTTTCCCCAAAGCTTAGTTGTCAGTTCTACTGGGTGTTGCCATATGTTGCTCCGCCAGGAGAGAAGTCTTGTAGGACATGTTCTGGAGTCTGTTCAGCACGAAGACATTGGCAGAGAGCTGTTTGGCTCATACCTAATTTATATGAGTGTTTATTGAGTCTGCAGTGTCCAGTACGTAAGCGAAAAACTGACTTGGTCTGTTCTGTTCAGGTGTTTCAGAAAATCTTTTTTTCATAGTTATAACCAGTGTTGGTTTTCCAATCTGTTTCTGATTTTCGATTGAAAGTACTTGAGACGGAAGGTTGTGGACTTTAAGAAGAAAAGCTAGATTTTAAAAGATCGCTTTCATAATATATGTGATACCTCAGTAGGTGATATAGTGCTTTCATAATATATGGGATACCTCAGTAGGTGATATAGTGCTTTCATAATATATGGGATACCTCAGTAGGTGATATAGTGCTTTCATAATATATGGGATACCTCAGTAGGTGATATAGTGCTTTCCTAGATAACGATTGGAGAATCTTGGTATTGGTCCACACATGTGTAAAATAAACAAGGGTCCAGTTTCATTTGTCCTAATGCCACATAGGGTACCACAAATCAGCTTTAGATAAGTATTTTCTAATTGTGTTGCCATCAGTTCTCTTGTCTCATGTTATCATAATCTTCTGACACTCTTAATATATCATCTGTGTGTCTATATTTGTGCTGTCTGTGAAATTCCCTGCAATATGATGTAAAATGTGATCTGTTCATTCCATTAATTAGCTCAGATAAAAATAATTAATGTAATACCAAAGCATAATCTAGTTTTGATCCACATTTAAAAATATTATTTCTGTAAAGAAAGATGGTATATGATGCTAGATTCAGCATTCGCTGATTTAAGTCATTCATTTTTCCCGATTAGTTAGTTTTCTGTTTTTGTTATTTAAATGGACTACAGTTATCTAAATTTAATGTAAAAATTAAAACATTTATAATATTGATGGCATGAATTTGTTTTCTGTCTTATGTTTTTAGCATCTGTTGTAGTCAGTGTAAAAAAAAGTACCTGACATTTAACAAACAAACAAACAAACAAACAAAAACACGCACTCACACACACACTCACGCACACACACTCTCTCTCTCTCTCTCTCTCACACACACACACTCACTCACACTCTCACTCACTCTCTCTCTCTCACTCTCTCTCTCTCACTCTCACACTCTCTCTCGCACACTCTCTCTCTCTCTCTCTCTTTCACTCTCTCTCACTCTCTCTCTCTCTCTCTTTCTCTTTCTCTTTCTCTCTCTCCTGACTGGTTTGGCTATATTCAAAGATCAAGTATATGATCTTGTTGACCGCTTCAGTGACTGTCATATTTTCCAAGTTATACCTGCGACAAGGCACTTGTGTAGATAGTTTTACTAATTACATCTCACCCGAGTTATTTTTACTTTTAAAAATGTCTTCACTCCCATACGTTATGTTGATTAGTATCGAATTGACTATGTGTTGATAAAAACTGTAATTGTATTTTGTGCACAAAATTTATTTTGATCATGATTAATAACAAAGGCCATCTCTCTTCTTAAAACTGGCAAAGAATGTACGGCTGAAACATGATTGTTCAAGGCTTGGTTCAGTAAGCACAGTTGAAACACTGGTCAAGTTGTGGCAGCAACAGAATCAAAGTTGAGATAATGTAGATTGGCCTGAAGGAGAAAGTTGGCCTGGCACAAATGGTTTATTTGTAATAATAGGAGAGTTGATGGAAACAATATAATTAGAATGTTTTATGCTGCATTACAGGAGATATTTTTTAACCATTATTCCAAAAGTTTGAAGGGAGGTGAGGGAGAGGATGGCAACAATAAAAGTTGTAATAACTAAGATACAGTAAATGAATGATCAGTTTGTTGTGGTGTTAGTCCCAAGCTATAAATAGATAGTACTAGAGATCTGTTGCATTCAGCTATCATTTTATAAAGACACTTCATTAACTAACTGATTATAGGAAAGCATTTGAATACTGCACTTTATTGCCTGTAAGAAAGAATTTCACCTATTTTCCCATGACGTCGTTTGCACTCCATTGATTTTACTTGCATCTGCTTTAGAAATTCAGCAGTACATCTTTACCATTAATATAAAATCTTCAGCGATCTATGGTCGTGCGCTTAATGCATTATAGGCCATAAACTGAGATGTCATCTCAAGGTCTCTTAGGTTTCCCCAAAGCTTAGTTGTCATGTTGACTGGATGTGTTTGATCATGATGATGCAGTGTTCATAGAATATTCTTCTTCCCATTCACTTGCTGTAAACTCCGGCTAAAGGTCTTTGCTCGTCCATTTCTGGACTGTAGTCTTGTTCTTGAATCATAAGTTTTACATGCACATACATTTAACAGATCTGGCTTATTTGTGTGCAGACTGTTGATTCTTCACCTCTCCAGCAGATGCGCTCTGACTTTGAAGGTGACTCCCCCACTTAGTCACCTTTTATGACATGCTTATTAAGAGGAACTGAGTTGGTTCCTCCTCCCCCAAATTGTTCCCAGAACTCTCATTGAGATTAGAATAGATAATACTACACTATTTTTGTGAGAGATTTAAACACAAAATATTTTACCAAAATAAAATGTGTCCAGAAAGCACGTATTTTGTTTCTGCATAAATCGACTGCTACAGCAAATAAATACCTTTATCGCCCATCACAACAGTGTCAAATTGCTGCAGCTCATTTCCACTGAGGATGTCAAGTCGGAGATTTGGGAACATGGAGTACCCGACGGTGTGGATCATGAGCAGAGTCAGCGGTGCAGTAACAAACTCCGTGCTGTGGAAGTCAATCATTGCTTTTTTAACTCATTATTTACCAAGCAACTCAACATGTGTTTGTTGGGTTCTACTTCATTATACATTTATCTGAACTGCTCATGTTACAGCTGGTTGTTACACTAAACTACACTGCTATAATCATTACTTTGCTTCTTCCTCTCTTACAATGTTGATATTTAAACTCTGAGTCCCAGGGGGTTTTGCATCACAGGCCGAGGGGCTAGTAAATAAAATCTGCGCATCATGCGTTCATTGGGCTTCTAGGTAGGAAACTATGAACGTATGATGCGTTCCTTGGGACTTAAAGACTCTTCCCAACTCAAAAATGTATTATTATTCTGACTTATAACCCCCAAAGTGGCAAAGGCCAAGTCATCTATCTGACTTTTCCATGGTTGGCTGGTTTTTGTGGGCATTTGTTTTTTCAGGATGAGTTAGCCATCCTCAAGCCCAACCCTACCCTTAGTCACCTCTTACGACATGCCTGGTAGGGTACAGTGTTACTATTTTTTGCTTTCTGTGAGGGCCCTGGTAGCACACGGGCGAAACATTTTTTACTTCAAGTCTAAACATTCTGGGAAAGGATGAGTAAACAATATCTGCCTGCAACTGAAAGAGAAATGGCTAAATAGTTTTAATATCTAATGCCTAAGAAGAATTATCAACATCATCATCAATTGTTACCTCTGCCGTTAAGCGTCATGGGAAGCAACAGTTTGTGATCCATTGCTTGGTGGGCAGCAATGCCTATTGTCATTCCATGTCAGTGTAGAAGCTCTTTGTGTATGAATATGCTGTTTATAATATGTTTCTTGGCGCTCATACTTATGATTGGGTGTCTTAATAATGGTGCCAGTTGGTATATAAGTGTACTGGCTCTTTGGCATCTTGTTGCTATTTCCCGATCTATTCTATCGTCCTCCGAGAATATTCTTTTAGATATTTAATTAGTTAGCTATCTTCGGACAAGTACCATTCAACCCTACAGTTAGCGGACTAGTTCTGCTAATCTATATTACTTCAGTTTTAGTCATATTTACTCTCTTGCTCGCCTAAGAAGAAAACTTTGCATTAAGTGGGGAGACAGTATCATAAACACAGAAGTATTGGAATTGGCAGATATCACAATGGTTTTCTTAATGCTGTCTTTAAAGGGCTCAGATTGCTGTGTCACAGTTGGAGGATGGCAGAGTCCTTAAGGATATCCTCTGTGGTGAAATACAGATGGGTGGATGCTGAGGTCTGCTTCTGCTGTGATATAAATATGTGTGCAAGTGGGACACATGAATGATACAGGTTTTCTCATAGATTTGTGGGAACAAAATGACATGGACTATGCCGAATTAAAAAAAAAAATGGGGTGTGTGTCCAGAAAGGGAAAATGAATAATGGAGAAAATAAGTAAAGGACCCTTTTCCACATCTTTAGGCATATAGGGTTAGACTTATATTTTATAGATCAGGGGTCGTGTTAGTCGCGTTAGCGCAGTCGACAAGAGGCTCGCTTTCAAATCCAGATGCGACTCGCTGCAGCCACAGTCGGTGTTCGAAACTGGGCGGTTCCCGAGGTTCGCCCAGCCTCTAGGAAATGGATACCAGAGTTGATAATCTGGGGTAAATGGAGAAACATCGCTGTAGCAACAGAGTTACGTGCCAACGGCGACACAGGCGGACAATTCTTATCAGCTGGATCTACTGGTGGCAGAGCACTTATGTTTATAACCGTGTGCAATGACGCTGGTTCACATCTCCCGACTTTACCTTTATAGATCAATCGACACAAGATGGGTGATGTGGTCAACATCACGCCGGCCGCTTTTACTTCCCGGGACTGGACCCGGTACCCATTCAAGTCTGGGTGGACCTGGGAGCCAAGGTCTTTTTTGGGAAAAGTCCGGCTCCGCCATGGAGCAAACCCACGACTTTCCGATCAGCAAGCGTCTAGCCGCTCCGCCACGGCGACTCCCAATGGAGAAAATGCTTGCAGACAATTTAAGAGCTGAGCGTCGGAGAAGAAAATTAAAAACATGCAGTGGCAACCTTGGTTCTGAAATACTGTACACTAATTGTGGAAGACGTTTAACGCGAGCAGGTCGCTAAGGACATCCTTCTCGTAAGTTGCTGAAAATGATATCTTCATTACTAATCAGTTTCAGTCATATGATTTGTCGTTGACACTGAAATCACTACTCTGAAGGTCTCAGTCGTATCGTAGTAGTAGTACTTTTACCCCACCAGGACATCACACAAGCGATAAACACCTGATGACACAAAGTGCCACCATGCGGATGAGGATCACCCGTGGATAGGTCCCGGAAACCGCGTTCAGCCATTGCCATATCTATGGCCGGGCTATGTTGCGGCCCCTGGAAAGAGTCAGGGTAGGGCTTCAAAATAACGAAAAAAAAATTGCATCCCAACTAAGGTTAAGTCATGTCGTGGACAATAACGTCATTACTAATATGTTAGTCATATCGAGTGTAGCTGATAGTGATATCACTACTAACTGAAGGAAATAAATCACTGTTTAGGTTTTGGAAACTTCACAGACAGATGTACAGGAAGGATCGGCATATTACAACAGGCATTATATTCACTGATAATGGTATGCCTATTGATATTTTCTACAGGGGTGTTGGGAAATAAGCGGGCAGATAGACTGGTAGGCTCTGTACCACTTGATGGTGAAATAATGTATGATAAGCTAGATATTTTAGGGGCCAGTGAACAGTGCGGAGGCACACACATATTTCTACGGTCTGAGGAGAATGGCGCTGCGGGAATTTACCAGAGGATCTGGCCGACGCTCAACACTCAGGGGAAGGGTGAGACGGATATACAATCAGACGGTTACTGGTACCATCGGAACTGGAACGCCTCGATTGCTGCTGAAGATGGGAACGGATCGCGTATGGGGTTTTCCGACTGCTCTGATGTCGATTCTTGATTTAACATACTAATAAGTAATAGGTTTCAGTCATATCGTGTGCCGTGGACCACATCCGGCTTTAACTTTATAGCCTAAAGATGGCCGTGCCGTGGACATTGAAATCACTACTTAACAGGTCTCATTCGTATCGTGTGTGGGGTTTCCCGACTTCTGTGATGTCGATTCTTGATTCAAGATTCAACATACTAATAGGTTTCAGTCGTATCGTGTGCCGTGGACACTGAAATCACCACTTAACAGGTTTCATTCGTATCGTGTGCCGTGAACACTGAAATCATTACTGATAAATTAGCCATACTAAGTGTTTAACTGATTTTTAAATCATTACTAATAAGTTAGCCATCTGGAGTGTAACTGATAATGAAGTCATTACAAATAGGTTTCAGTCATATCGTGTGCCGTGGACACCGAAATCATTACTAAGTTAGCCATAGCGAGTGTAGCTGATAATGAAATCATTACTAATTAGGTTAGCCATAGCGAGTGTAGCTGATAATGAAATCACTACTAATTAGGTTAGCCATAGCGAGTGTAGCTGATAATGAAATCACTACTAATTAGGTTAGCCATAGCGAGTGTAGCTGATAATGAAATCATTACTAATTAGGTTAGTCATAGCGAGTGTAGCTGATAATGAAATCATTACTAATTAGGCTAGCCATAGCGAGTGTAGCTGATAATGAAATCACTACTGATTAGGTTAGCCATAGCGAATGTAGCTGATACTGAAATCACTACTAATTAGGTTAGCCATAGTGAATGTAGCTGATAATGAAATCACTACTAATTAGGTTAGCCATAGTGAATGTAGGTGATGATGAAATTTTTACTAATTAGGTTAGCCATAGTGAATGTAGCTGGTAATGAAATCACTACTAATTAGGTTAGCCATAGTGAATGTAGCTGATAATGAAATCACTACTAATTAGGTTAGCCTTAGCGAGTGTAGCTGATAATGAAATCACTACTAATTAGGTTAGCCATAGTGAATGTAGCTGATAATGAAATCACTACTGATTAGGTTAGCCATAGCGAGTGTAGCTGATAATGAAATCATTACTAAATAGGTTAGCCATAGCGAGTGTAGCTGATAATGAAATCACTACTAATTAGGTTAGCCATAGTGAATGTAGCTGATAATGAAATCATTACTAAATAGGTTAGCCATAGCGAGTGTAGCTGATAATGAAATCATTACTAATAGATTTCAGTCAGTCATATCGTGTGCCGTGGACACTGACATAATAAACGCACACTACACCTTGTCAGCCATGACATATATCGACTTAGTTATATTTGGTTTGCATGCAACAACAGATGAATTAGCTTATAATACTACCAAAAAGAAACAGTTTCACTGACCTTGGTAGAACAAGAAACTGAAACGAGACGGTTTTGGTTTTGTTGGTCCAACACTCAAGGTCGGCCAGCGAACATTCTTTCTTCCCGCAGATAACTCCGTCCTCTGTGGTCACTAGTTTGCTTCGGTCATTATGGGAAAAAAGAGTTTTGTCTGTCAGCATTAGCATATAAAACTACACATAAGACATGCGTGTCTGCACGCGCATACTTATGTGCCTTGTCGGTAAGCGTAGGGTGTCATGTGTCACTATCTTAAACGATCATCAGAAGCATGGATTAGGTCAATGTTCCCTCCCTCCCTCCCCATCCATGTGCATTTATCTCGTCACTTCCTCTTACTGTTAGACCACCGATCTTGCCAGTTGTCACCGAATCCTCAAGTCCATTTCTTCTCATAGCATGTCCAAAAAGCACTAAGTCAAGGTCCAAATTCTGTCCTCACTGTTGTTATGTCTTTTCATAATTCTTTCCAGTGGTTGTGTGTGTCTAGAGAGAGAGAGAGAGAGAGGGAGGGAGGGAGAGAGGCAGGCAGAGAGAGAGACGTTGGTTCTGAAACGCCATGTAAAAGATACGCAGCTAACTTATAACTCATATCTTTTCCACTACCAGCGTCTCCTCCTGCCTTTTTTTCACCTCTTGATACCCGGAAATTAGTTTAGTTCTCTCTGGGGCGTTTTTTTTTTTGGGGGGGGGGGGGGGGGGGGGGGGGTTGCAAAACAGGGTTCTTGTTTTAGGCATAATTTTTGTTTTCAGCGCTACTGTAATAGGTTCTTGGTAGTGAGTACCGGCACCTTTTATAAATACTTTGTGGTAAGGACCGGCACGTTTTTTTTTCCTAGAAAAAAAAGACCTGTTCTCTCACGAAACGCCGCATTATTGAATCGGTCACACCATTTAATTCCATCATCAGTTTTCTGCACAAGCACTACGTATGAGTAGTTGTAGACGTTGTTACTTTTTTTTTTTAATAGTGTTCTGCACGTTTCTGTGTCATAGATCTGTTCATTTTTGACGTTAGATTTAAATATGCTAAGTTTGCTTCTAGTTTTAATCTTTTTCAACTTCCAACGACTTCATTTTGTCATGAAATACCTCTGACCTTTTTTTTTTCATTTTCATTTTTATATCTCATTATGTTCCTCTGTCGGCGTTTGTGGCTTAGGCGTTGTGAAGACGCTTCGTAATTTCGAGGCACTGGTTCGATTCCAAGGTCCGATTTGACAGCAGGCGTATGAACATTGATTTTGATAATGACATCGAGAGCCGACCGTTTAATGACAGTGGCAAACTGCTGATGGTAATTGTGCCTAGAAAATCACCAACAACCCACACGAATTAATTCTGGGGTTAATTCTGCAACCTCATGCAAAAGACACGCAAACTAACTTCTGCTTCTCTGTGTTTTACCTTACTACCTAAATAGATATATGACTCCAAATCTTGAAGTGGGTGTCAGCTTGAGAGACTTGGTTATTGTTTTCATGAATTTATCTTTTTATATTTGTGTATCACTTACAATAATAAACAGCATCCTATCCCGAGAGTTGAAGTATTTTGGCCACATCAAGCGCCAAGGTGGCTTGAAAAAGACGGTGATGGAAGGTGCAGTTTGTGGAAGGCGAGGCAGGGGTCGACCACGGAAGATGGAAACAGGACATTGAAGAAGCATTGGCAATGAAAGCCCATGAGGCCGGAGAGCTGGCTGGAGAAAGGGAAACTTTCAGGCATGCCGTGAAGAGAGCGACTTGCTGACTGATAATGATTTCGCTTATATATACATGTATATATATTATCTTACTGTTGTGTTCTCCAGTAAATTAAATGTATTTTTTTTAAATCTGATTTCGTGATGTCGTAGAGTCTAGCTCAGGCTTGACAAACATGCTGCCCGTGTGTGACTGCCCTTTACATGCCTTTTTTTTTAAACGCAGTGACTTTAATTAATGGTTTCGTGTGGCTCTCATAACGACATGAATGTGGCCCTCGGGGAAGCCTCGGTTGGACATACCTAGTCTTGATCATCTATCAAGAGCGTTGAATTTTGTTTTCTTGTGACAGTTCCTGCTGCCTTTAAAGTCAATCTGTTAATTAGGCATACAGGGCTAGAACTATATATATATATATATATATATATATATATATATATATATATATATATATATATATATATATATATATATATATATATATATATATATATATATATATATATATATAAGACTAATCATCAAAATTTAGTCTGTAGCAGTTTTAAAAGTTATACATTGGCGACTGGGTCACCTATTGGCTCGCGGGTAGGCGACTTCGTCGCCGGAATGGATAGTGTTTTGGTCTGGCTTCTTTTATAGCGTCGACACGGCAGTAGTCCTTTTCAGGGTTTTTGGTAGCGTGCAATGCTTAGCCATTTTATATGGTGCACAAAACCTAGTCACAGAACCTAAAGCTCCCCCTTCGCGAATGCTGCTTGAACGTGACAATTTTTTCCACCAGCAAAGCGCCTATCTGCCTAGTTTTAAAAGAAGGGAGGGGGATAAATACAATTACTGCCACGCACTTTTTCTCATTTCAAATATATCAGTTAATTCCCTTTTACAAAGAACTAGGTCATTTCTTAATTTGTTTTGTTTATCAAGTTAATTTTCTTCAGAGAATGTGATTACTTCTCGCAAATTTATAGAATTTCCTATCAATGCGTTTAAAGGCCTTTTCATAGTTCCCAAAAAAGGTAAACATTCATTATTGTCATAGTGTGTCGCTCGCGAATGTGCACTGGAACGCACCAGTACTAAGACGTCAAAACAATACGTAATATCGTTATGGTATTGTTAATGTCATCCATTATATTCAAGAGGGACCAAACATATTAAAGTCTGAAGTAGAGAAAGCCATTAAACAGATGAAGCAGGGAAAAGCTGCAGGTCCAGACAACATAACTGCAGAAATGTTAAAATCATTATCTACTTTTGGAATTGATACTATCACAGAAATATGCAATGACATTTATAACTATGGGTACATTCCCAGGGACATGAAAACATCTGTTTTTATCACACTACCCAAGAAATCAAAAGCTGTTGATTGTGAAGATTACAGAACTATTAGCCTAATGAGTCACGTAACTAAGTTACTCTTGAAGATAATACAAGCAAGAATTCAAGATAAAATAGAGAAAGAAGTTTATGAAGACCAATTTGGATTCCGTAAAAACAGTGGTACTCGAGAGGCCATAATTTGTCTAAAGATGCTGACTGAAAAATATATAGAAGTTCAGAAAAATATTTATGCATGTTTCATAGATTACAAAAAAGCTTTCGACAGAGTGCAACATGAACAACTAATTGCAGCTCTTCAAAACATAGGACTAGATGTGAAGGATATCAGACTTATTAGAAACTTAAACTGGGAGCAAGAAACAACAGTAAGATATGACAACATCTGCTCACCCCAGATAGAGATCAAGAGAGGAGTAAGACAAGGATGTGTACTGTCGCCTAGCCTTTTCAACTTACGTACAGAAACCATTTTTTAAGAAATTGTACAATTACCAGGACTGCACATCAATGGTAGAATAATAAACAATCTGAGATATGCTGACGACACAGTGTTGCTAGCAGAGAGTGAGCAAGAGTTGCAAGACCTAATGGAGCAAGTAAACAGAAGGAGTGCTGAATTTGGATTAGATATAAAATTGAAAAAGACAAAAAACCATAACATGTGACGGCAGAAGTGAAACAGAAGTCAAGAAAAGAATAGGGATGGTCAAAAACATTTTCAACAACATGCAAAAGTTACTGACATCAAGAGAAATAAGCAATACATTAAAAATGAGAATTGTCAAATGTTATGTATTCTCAACCTCACTGTATGGCACAGAGACATGGACAATGAACAAACAACTGGAAAATCGTGTCAATTCTTTGGAGATGTGGATATACAGAAGATTAGGTCGTATTTCATGGAAACAAAAGCTATCAAATACAGAGGTACTGAGGAAATTGGCAATGAAAAGAGAGTTGCTAGGTGAAATAAAAATGAGACAAGTGAAATATTTTGGCCACATTAAAAGACATAACAGTATTGTAAAGATCATCATAGAGGGAAAGGTTCAAGGTAGGCGAGCAAAAGGCAGACAGCGTTACAAGGGGAGGATAACATCAAGAGATGGACGAACAGCAGAATGAGTGAGTTTACATCAAGGGCAAGAGACAGGGCTTGTTGGAGATCCATTGCAGCCAACCTTCATTGTAGAGACGGCACCTGATTGATTGATTGATTGATTGTTGATGTCAGAGGGTTGATATTAACAGTCCGAAGGAGACGGACGTGTGGATCCTAGAGGACGCTTTACCCCGGGATTCCACGGAAGCAGTCATTGTATAAAGTTGGATCCTTGAGGACGCTCTACCCCGGTACTTCACTATAAACCTCAGCAGAAAGCTGGTATAGTGCATACTTCTTTCGGCAGTAAGCCGGTATACGTATCTTACCTTGTTCAAGCCGCGAGAAAGAAGACAGAGATGACTGTCGGGATCTCCAAGGTCGGACTGCGACCCGAAACTCGGTCTCTCGCCAGCTCTCCCGTCTATGTAATTTCATATTCAAGGAGTCACTTATATCATGTTCCAATCTTCGTGTTGGTCGGCCCCTGCCCCTCCTCCATCCTGGTGCCATGCCTTCTACCATTATTTTTTTTTCAATCCACCATGGCGTTTGATATAACCATAATAGTTCAGCTTCCAAAACAAAATCTTGCCAGTTTTACCCAATTTCTCAAGTCTATTTATTTCTTAAAGCATGCCCCACCCCCCCCCCACCCCCACCCTCCCCTTAAAAAAAACTTACTATCAACGTGTAACTGTTTTGAAAAGATCACGACCTTCATCTATCTCGATGAGAACTGCTTCATTTGTTTTTCTATCCTTCTATGATATTATAAACCACATCTCTACCACGGGTTAACATTAGTCAACATTAAAGAGTTTAATTCAGTTTATGCATAATGTGTCTAAATGGTCAGTGCAGAATCTGTTTAGTCGTGTACCTGATTGTTTATGCATTAGTTGTTTCTCAGCAACAACTTGTAATTTTTCCAGGATTTCGAGCATTTTCCATGTCTTCTG